GGCACATAGTGGTCTTTGAATGTTAACTTTGTGCTACTAGTGTTTTGATATCCTGTGTGGGATCAAGCTTAAATTTGTGAAATTTGTTGGGGAAAATAAAGAATTGTGCTAGAAAGAATGTACAGCACTCTCACTTGTTTTCTATCTTGTCTGTCATGTTTCACTTTGTAATTTCACTTGATTAGCAACTAAAGTGTTGGCAATGCTTTTAGGTGTCCCCTGATCAGGCACAGCTGCTTACAATGCTTGTGCAGATTCTTGGAGCAGAACGGTGTATTGAAGTTGGCGTTTATACCGTATGTCCTTCATTCTCTATACACCTTGCACTAGTTTTATTCATGTTACATAGTAGAGGATGCCACTTCACTTCAATGAGGTATTATATTATTAATTTGATCCAGGGATACTCATCATTAGCCATAGCATTAGTTCTGCCAGATTCAGGTCATTTAGTTGCCTGTGAAAGAGATGCCAAATCTCTTGAAGTTGCCAAGAAGTATTATCAACTAGCTGGTGTTTCACATAAGGTATCTATGCTACTCATCTGCTTTTGATTTGAAAAGGGTTCAAAATTTTTATTTATATCTTCTGAATATTGGGGCGCTTTTTATAATATATTTATTATGTGCTGCCTGATCTTGTGGTATTGTTAAATTGATGTTGCTGCAGTCTTCTTTATTGGCCATTATGATTGTAAAATTAGTTGGTGGGTGCTGTTTGGACCTTTTATGCGTGGTGAAGGATATTATGAATGATTTTGAACGGGTTAGGAGAACAAAACATGTTTTTGGGTGTGAATTGTGTATATGTGTGTTGTCATTTGGATGTATACGTTAGAAGATATGACATGTTGTGGGGTCTTCTCGTTGTACTTAGTAAATCCATGATAACTCTTTCGGCCGTGGATGCGGGAAAGATGTTCTCTTCCGTCGTAGATGCAGAAAGATGATGAGTTCGAGTGGTGATGACTCTTTCAGCCGTGATGCGAAAAAGACCATTGGTTTGTGATGATGACGTGTGACGGTGTTTAAGTTGTTGGTGTGTTGTTGTGTTTATTATTGTGGTGAATGTTTAGCATTTGTATGTTATGTTATTCTGCTTGTGATTGATTCTTAGTTAGCTCACCCATATGTTTGTGGTTGTGGTTTCCACATGCGATAATCGTTTTATACCGAGCAAATGATCATTCAGTTAGTTCGGATGTTGTATAACACGACGAGTGAATTGAAAGAAATGTGGGTTATTTTTCCTTAATTGTAAAGACTTATTGAATTTAGATTTCCGCAATGATGTTATGATTTTAAAATTTTAAATTTCTACTCGTAATCGTGACAATTGGGATGTTATACTGATGGCTTTACACAACTGGCTATAGGTGGATGTAAAACTTGGACTTGCAATGGACTCCCTAGAATCTTTAATTCTGAATGGTGAAGCAGGAAGGTATGTGGATTTCTCATTTTCAACACCACTATGATGTATGATTTGAAATTTCACATTCTGTTGCTGCGGGTAAGAGCTCTTCCACATCTGCTATTTTCTCTTAAAATCGTTATTGTTAATCAAGGATCCTGTCCATATCATATGAACATTGTCAAAGAGGTAACAAGTAAATTAGAACTTAAGTGATGTTACCTTTTCTTGCAGCTATGATTTTGCATTTATTGATGCCGAGAAAAGAATGAACGAGAAATATTTTGAACTGCTACTACAGCTGGTAAGAACATAATAAAAACGGTCAAAGGCATTCAGCTATTATGCTTCTTAATCACGAGATCTTTCATAATCTTTCTTATTGCGTTCCTATGAACTGTTATACTGATGCACTGAATAATTTCTTGTTGCAGGTGAAGGTTGGAGGTCTTATTGTAATTGATAATGTCCTTTGGCATGGAAAAGTTGCTGACCAACTGGTGAATAATACATTCTTATGTGATCTCCTTTTTTTTTTCAGTTAACTGAACTTGATTTAATGTACTATTTACAGGTTTATGACCCTAAAACTCTCAGCATTAGAAATTTTAACCAGAAGTTAATGGAAGATGAGCGCGTAGACATCACTATGGTATGTTTATAAAATATTTTTTTTTAAAAGATTAAATATGTTTTTAGTTTTTAAACTTTAACATTAAATTAAAATTTATTTTTGTTTGAAACTTTGATATATTTTGATTATCAAACTTTATTCCAAACTTTAATATATTTTAATTATCAAATTTTAAAAATAAACTAATATAATTTTTCTAATTCAACTGTGTTAATTTTTTTATGGCTCAAAATGATGTTTGACATGTTCAAACTCAAATAAAAAAGAATATTAACACGGATTAAATGATTACATTCGTTTTTAAAGTTAAAAAATTAAAATATATTAAAATTTGTTGAATTCTAATTTTACATCAAGTTTAAGAATTAAAAATATATTTAATTTTTTTAATTATTAATACACTCTCAGATAATTTATAATTGCTTAACTTTTTTTTTGGAGAGTCTCAGGTACCTATTGGAGACGGGATGACGATCTGCCGAAAACGCTGACCGATTTTTTAGTAACTTTTAAGTTGTATGCAAGTGAACTTTCACCGTTCAGGGGTAATTCTTCTGTAAGATCTGAGGAAAGAAAGATGCATAATAAGCACAAATTTGATTAGATGTTCTTTAAGCTTTTGGAGTTGCAAAGTCCTTTCTTTTAGGCTACTTTTGGCAAGGATCTGAAAACTGTATACTGATGAAGATCATTTTGGCTCCAAATGGAATACGCTAAACCAGATTTATATGATCTTCTCTGCCACAATTTTTTTAAGCACTAAAGGTAGCAGCACCACTACATTAGCCTGGAATTCAGTGACCTATTAGTAACACATTAATTACTTCATTCTTTAAAAAGAAAATTTACTCAATTGATTTTTTTTAATTATAAAATCAAGCGAATATCACACTTTTTCACTTATGATTTCGTTATTTCAATAAATCTCACAGTTATTTTGACAAATTTTAAATAATAACGAACAGGGTCGAAAAAGTTACTGATTTCACATTAAATTATAGTACAGAAATAAATATATTTGAGAATAAATGCTTTCACTGATGTAACTGATGCTCAAGAAATTATCATTATAATAGTTCATCATAGTTCTACTTTATAGTCGTCGGTTGTAGTTTTCAACAGTTCATCATTCGACATGGCCTAAGAAGTCTATCTAAATATGTAATGCCAACCCTGGACAATAAGAATTTGCCTTAACCGAGAGCTCCCTAATCCTGGAGCATTGTTGCGTTAATCAAACAAGATTTAATTGTGATTTGGTCACATACCCTCCACAGACAATTATACAACTTTCAATAATCTTCTTCACTATAACAATAATCATGTTCCCACCACTAAACTATTATTGTTATAACGAATAGCGTCCTTTTCACTATTTTTAAAACTTTTGGTGCTACTTTCACCAAGTTAGTTAACAATGACACTTAGCAAAAGAGATTCATGATGAATTTTTCTTTTTTCTTTTTTCTTTTTCCATTTACCTTATCAGACTTGGGAATGAGTTTTCTGAGAGTTGCAAGTTGTGCATTGATTCTGTCCCTGCGCCTTTTCTCTGCTTGGCTGTGACTCTTTGAAGCACTTGCAGCTCTATCTTCTGTAATGGTTGCAGGCCACAAAGGGAACTCACTAAACTGAAGAGATGGAGGGTCAGAAGCAAGAGAGGGTGTTTAAGTTGTTGGAACAGAAAAAAGGAGATAACTGATCACTGTTTGGTGCAGAGTTGCATTCAGCCATGTTGGTGGCAAGAGGCTACCCAGAATAGTGGTAACTTTCCATATGCATAATCAGGGACCATTCTAATGCCTGTGCCTGGTTTTGTGAGCCTTTTATTTCCCATTCATTGACATTGTTTGCTTAATGGGCGATCTTCTTCTTATCTTTACGGTGATTGGTGTGATATGCAATGACCTTTAATGGGATCAGACGAAAATGGTTTTTGGCCGTATGCGCCTGTCACTTCACCAAGAAAATTTTCTCTCTGATAAATCTCACTACACTTTGTGAAGAATCTCAAGTTTGAGAAGATTAAAAAGGATGAGCGAAACACGGCTGAGAGCTGATGTAATTCTTGGTTGAGCTATAAGTTTCATATTCGATATAAATTGAGAAAGTAAAACACATAAATATGAAAAATCCATTAGTTTTTGTTGTTTTAAGATTTTTTTTTGGTTTAATCCTTTACTACATCCCTATTTATGTACGAATTTCACAATTGGGTTCTCGTTTTTTAAAGTGTATCAAAATGGTCCCTAATTTTGAAAATTGATATCAATTGAGTCCTTTCCGTTAAGTTGGCTGGACGGCGTTAAAAAAATTGATGAGTGGATGCTGAGATGACGAACGAGCGCTCAACGACCTCTTACTGCTGGACAACCGTTCGTTCCACACTGCTGGACAACCGTTCGTTTCACACTGGACGAGCGTTCGTTGAGCGCTCGTTTGTCATCTCAGCATCCACTCATCAATTTTTTTAACGCCGTCCAGCCAACTTAACGGAAAGGACTCAATTGATATCAATTTTCAAAATTAGGGACCATTTTGATACACTTTAAAAAACGAGAACCCAATTGAGAAATTCGTACATAAATAGGGATGTAGTAAAGGATTAAACCTTTTTTTTATAGAAAATAAGGTCAATCCCCTTGTATAATTCGACTCATATCTGATTAGTATTAACCTTTTCTGTTTGTCTGTTTAATAAACACTTACATATTATTACAATAGTTGAAGTTGTTAATCATCGTTAATCTTGGATAATATTCGAAGTTCATAGTGTTAATCTTAGAAAACACGTATAAATCGTTAAAGTTGTTATTTATAATAAATTATAAATTAACGAAAATTCACTTCATAATCCTTTACTATTAAAATTCTATATATTTTTATATTCCAATAAACTATATTTTTAACCATTTATTTCCTTTCACATGTTCTGTTACGTGATAAATGTGTGTGAACCTCTTTCTTCCATTTTCTTCTACCGAGTGTCGGGTGACCGAGACCCGACCCATTTAGAAATCGGGTTTCAAATGCATCTTTGAAAGGACGCAAAGAGTCAGTGAAGTCATAAGTTGAAACACGAAACATCGCGGCTTTTGCATCGATGGCGGATCTGAAGACTGATACTTTGCGCACCTACGCTTACATTCTTCTCTACATTGCTCTCTCCAGTGGCCAAATCTTCTTCAACAAGGTTATCGCCAATCACTTTAAACTAATGCACTCTCTTCTCCGTTTGTTTCCCCGTAATAAATATTATCCGAAAATGCTTTGTCAGAAGTATATCGCGAAGATCGTTCCGTGCTGAATTCGAAGTCAGGATTCGATGTTATGGTTCCGTGTTTCTATTTTAATTTGCTTTCTTCTTTTCTGTGAATTGTTTTTGCCTTAATTTGCTGCGTGTGTTGTTGATTGGAAGTGGATACGATGATGAATGATTTGTCAGTTGATATTGTTAGTGGTAGTTGGGCATTTTGTTCAATCGGAACAGAAGTGTTTTAATTTGGCTGTTTCTGGAGTTTGGTTCAGTGTAAGAAAATTGAGGAATTGAGCAAAATTTTCTTCATTTTTTGAGGAAATTTTGATGTAGTGACTCATTTGTTAAATGACGTCGGTGTATTGGTAATGGCAGAGTACCTTGTGTTAGAGCTTGTCGTTTGGATTTTTATTTTGGTTATTTCAGGTTTGGTTGTCTGTTGGAGTGATTTTGTTTTGGAAGTATTATTGTCTCCTGTTTGATGTTAGATTTTGCTTAGTTCGTGAGTGGTTTCATTTGAGGAATGAATAACCAAGGAGAAAATGCTTAAAAACTGTGTTGTTATGTAGCTGATGCCTAATTTGTCTTTTCAATTTGTGTCTGTAGTGGGTTTTGTCCTCTAAGGAAATTAACTTCCCCTATCCTTTGGGGTTGACTCTACTTCACATGGTCTTCTCCTCCGTTCTTTGTTTTTCGTTAACCAAGATTCTGAAGGTATGGATTTGTGCTTGGTGTATTGTGCTATTTAATTGGTTTCTGTCATGTAATGCAGGTTAATAATCTGTTTCTTACAGGTTATGAAGGTTGATCAGGGAATGACTCCTGAAGTGTGAGTACAAAAAGATGCATTCTATAGCTGATGCTTGATTTAAAATACGGTTTTATGTATGGAGCAATTTGATTGTTTTATTTCGATGGCTGTTGGTGACTCTTGGTATTTTAAAAGTGGGATCTCATAGCATTTACTATTTGGGATCTAATCAACGTGAAACTTGGGTTTTTCTCAATATATTCTCTTACATTCATTACTACTGGGCTTAGTATTGTACAACATGATGAGTAGAAAAAATATCTGTAGAATCTTTTAGTTTATTTTTCAGTATATTTTTTCCTTATTTATTTTTTTAGGAAGATTAGATTGTTACAAATAGGTGTAAGAGAATGTAATAGATATGAATGATAATAATAAAAATCATTCTCTTTTCAAGAAATAGTGACTATGTTTCCCTAATTAACATAAAACGCAGTATATCTCTTGTCTTTTGCATGGTTTAGTGTATAAGAATAAACTGGGTCGGTTGAAACTTAGTGCCCATTCAAATACATCTTATATGTTATCTTCAAGTCTATTCACCATAGTAGTTTACTGCATTAAAAATACATATGGGGACTCCAAATTTCAGTTGTAATTATACCTTTATTGTTTCAGATATGTTACTTCCGTAGTGCCAATTGGGGCCATGTTTGCGATGACTCTTTGGCTGGGAAATACTGCCTACCTGTACATTTCTGTTGCTTTTGCACAAATGCTGAAGGCAGTTAGTAAGTTTTAGTGATCTTGTTGATTATTGATAATCGGTAGGTATCATTGTTCATATATGATATTTGCCAATGGAAAGTGTAATCACAAAATGTGTATCGTGAGACATTTAAAACCATCAGATCTATTAGTTAAACAACTTGGATTAGTTGTTCAATATATACCATAGAATGATTTTATATTTACAATACTTTTTCTCAAATATGACAACTAATTTAATTCTTCAATTGTCAATCACAGTGCCTGTAGCTGTTTTTGTGCTTGGAGTAGCTGTAGGACTTGAAGTAATGAGCTGTAAAATGCTATTAATCATGTCAGTGATTAGTTTTGGCGTCCTAGTTGCTTCTTATGGAGAGATAAACATAAACTGGGTTGGAGTAGTTTACCAAATGGGAGGTGTTGTTGGTGAAGCTCTGAGACTTATCTTCATGGAGATTTTTGTTAAGAGGAAAGGTCTTAAGTTGAACCCTATATCCGTGATGTATTATGTTAGTCCCTGCAGGCAAGGGTTTCTTTTAGTAATTTCACTTACTGTTACAAATATGTTTGAAGAAAGTTGGTGTATCATGAACTGATTCTTGCCAAAATAATTTTGGATTCTTCTGCAGTGCAATTTGTTTATTCCTTCCATGGATATTTCTGGAGAAATCGAAGATGGATGAACATGGACCATGGACCTTCCCTCCTCTTTTGCTCATCCTCAACTGCCTTTGTACTTTTGCTCTAAACTTATCAGTTTTCCTTGTTATTACACATACAAGTGCTTTAACCATTCGTGTTGCCGGAGTTGTCAAGGATTGGGTGGTTGTCTTAGTGTCTGCTGTTCTGTTTGCCGATACAAAGTTAACAATTATCAATTTGGTTGGTTATGCTATTGGTAAGAATCTGATTCTGCTTTGACCTTTAAAATTTCCTGTTTCATTAGATAAAGCCTTTGAGAAATTTTCACAAACCAAAGGCCGTAGTGTACATCTACATATTCTACTGTCCGGGAAAGTTGATGACCCAGTATCGGGTGCTCCCTGGAAGCCTATGTGCCATTAGGTTATACACGCTTTAAAAGCTCATGGAAGCAAAGACTTCATTTTAAAAATTAGCGTGAGCAAATCTAGTATGGTTGGAGATTAACTATTAGTATTTTATTGATGGGGCAAAACTGAATGGAGATTGTATTAATGGAAATTGAGTGTACGAGATACAGTTAAGTATAAAAGAAGAACCTCCCTGGCTAAGAAATGGAATCTCTTCCAAAAGCTAAAACTTGAGAACCATTAACCATACTCTGATAAGGCTTTTAAGGTGTATGTTAGGAAAAATGTTCAAAATTAGAAGTTACAAAATAGTTAACTTTTAAGGAGGTTGTTTAGTCTAGTAGGGGTTATCTTTTAAGGAGGAAACGGTCCCTCCTTGTGGTGTGTGTATTTTTGTGTCAGAACAGGGCTTGTCCTGTGTAGAAGGGAAATTCTTCCCTTGGAACCTGTTGGATGTTTTCTTGTATTATGTTTTTCAGAATTAGAGTGTTATCTTACGTTGTGCAGTAAGATTTGTGTGTTAATTTCTTAAAATGAATTAGAAATCTGGTTTCTTGTCCCCAAGAAACCTAACATACTCTCTCCTAGGAATTATTTCCTTTAATAATAGTTGTAAGGCCTTCTTTTCTGCAAACACCTTCTCCCCTAACTAATTTAGGTCTATGTGCAAATATAGTTGTAAGGCCTTCTTTATGGCTTAGTTTTAGCAACATGAACTATTGATGTATGCACAGTTATATATGATTTCCAATTACAACAATTTCTCTCTTTTTAAATCCCATTTTTAGGATGAGAGTGGAGAGTGATCAACATCTACTTTTTTTTACCATTGCCTGTTGGTCCATGTGGTAAGAAGCGTAGTTCTCCTTCAATAATGTCTTCAAGTGTTATCTATGATAAACTAGGTGCTGAGATAAGTTTGCTCCACTAAGAGGATTCACTGCTAGTCGATTGGGATATCAAGAGTCTCAGTCTCAAACCATAAAAATATTCTATATTTTTTTTGGCTTATTTTAGATGGATATATAGTCATAAATGTACTAATCTGGACTGTGGACCGATAAATTTGTTAATTAAAAATAGCGAACATGATTCATTTTTGATAGAATATTTCTGAGAAGTATGAATAAAGGCTATAGTCAAATCAAATGCTAAACGATCCGATATAATAGTTATAATAATTGTAAGTCTTAGATTAGAAGCAATCATGAGCAGTTCTATCTGTTGGTTAAGAAAAGGGAGCAGCTTCTGTAACCATTTTTAAAATTTTTATCCAGCCATTGCAGGGGTAGCAGCATATAATAATTACAAGTTGAAAAACGAAGCCTCTCGAGCTACCTCAAATGACTCCGACCCTGAATCTTCCCAAAGTCAAGAGTCTCAACCTTTAACAAGTAGATAGCTGCAGTCTTTAACACGAGGTATGTAAAAAATGTAAATGAAATATAGTTCTTATTCCCGCAAGTTTGCTTCCTCTTATAGATTATTTCTTTGTATCTCTTCCAGTTGTCCATGCCTTATTCAGAAGTTGACGAGACTTGTAGTAGTTTTTACATAATCTAGCAAGAGGGCATCAAATGTTCATGTAGCAGATAGAAGTATACGCAAGCATTCTTTGTTCAATCTTATAACAATTTCAGCTAAATTTAGATCGGGGGAAGCACTGTGGTGATCCAATTTAGTACATGAAGATGTAAAATAATAACTTCATCCTTTAAAAAAGAGGTGCTTGGCCATGGCATTTGATTTTTGAGGAATTTGAGGTTATTCGAATTTCACAATATTTATTTGTTTGTAGCAATTTCCATTCAATCTTAGCGATTCAATATTTCAAGTTGAATATCAAAGATTAAAAGCCCCAACACCCACTATTTATTATTATTGGACAATGGTCGGAACAGCGGCATATAGACTAGTTTGTTAGACAGATGAAAACTTGTAAAAGTAATTTGTTTATCTAAAATGTATTGATATCATTCGACATTGAGACATTGTTTTAGTGTTGGGAATATTTGATCCTATGTAATTTCTTTTATTTGCATGCTGTCATTGTTATTGTTGTATTTTGTGTATTTATCTCGTCGGCTCTCTCTAGTTCAATAGAGTTATAGGGGAAGACAAAAATAATGTTAAAAAAGGGCATATGTTGTGTATTTGTAGCATGTGTATTTTGGAGTTACTGTATGACCGTTTCGGCATATATATATATATATAGTTACTGATTTTCTCTTGTGATAATCCTTCTGTTTTTTTATTTAGTGGATCCGTCTGTGTTCTTGGGACAGGAGGCTTGAAATGAAACCCTAGACCTTTTTGCAGATAACATTGTTAATAATTTTCAATGTGCATATTTGGAACTTATATGATATATGTAACTTTACACTGTCAAAGAAGAAATTATTATGTATGATAAGTCCTAAATAATCTTACACTGTCAAATAACTAGTATTTTAATTCATACAGCATATGAGTAATTTTTATATTATTTAATATTTTAACGCTAAAATAGATAAAGTATGCTAAATGTGCATCTTGAAATTTATAATTATATCAACGATAAAGAAATTATTCTCACTTTGTTTACATTGTTAGATTATTTTACCATTTAATTATCATTTAAATTACCTACTATTCTTCGAAATTTCGGTCTCTAATTAACCATTTCAATAAACTTTTTAATATAAAAATAATTAAAAGAAATCAAACTAATTTAAAAAATGGAAATGTATACATATTGGCATGCATGTATTTCCAATAGTCTACACAAGTCATTTTAGTGAGATTTTTAGATTGTTTAATTAGGATAATGTACATGAATCAAAAATACATATTGATCTAATAATTAGTTTAACGATGAAGGGATGTGTTTTTACTTTAAAATTAAGGTTGCTACTTCATGCATTCCATTTTTTTCTTCCTACATCCCTTAAATTTTTAAATGTCTGTTCTATCTTTTTGAATTAATAATATAAGTTGAATTTTGTTCGGTTGTCTTTCTCTAATTTGGAATCCCCAATTCCGTTGCACCTCCCTCCCACTACCTTATGTTCCTTCCCTATTCCCGTACATTGTGTCTCTCCCCCAATATCTCCTTATCTACTTATCTACTTATCTACTACTATACCAAAATTGTGAAGAAGAAACATTGAAAGTGAATGCACACATCCTGGATTTATCATTCAGAAAAATATTTTTTTTTTTACTATTAGGTTTTGTCCAATATATGTGCGCACATCTACTCCAAGAAGAAGAGTAGGACTTTTGAGTTGTACATGGAAGAAGAAAAAATAGGAAAAATACTTTTGGAATAAGTGTTCCGAAATATATTTTTGGATTCAAAATTATCTTCTGGAATATTAATTTTAGAAAAATATTTTTGTATTTAGGATGGGGTGTTGTGTGTTGCTGGATGTATTTCTGAATCCGAAAATACAATCTAAACTGGGAAATATATTCCAAAATATAAAAAAGGTTTAAAAACAGGTATTTTGGAAGTCATTTCTGGATTTGAAAATATATTTTGGAATTATTATTTTTAATTTTTTTTTGTATTCCAGAATGACTGTTTTAGAAGATATTTCTAAATTCAAAAATAACTTTCGAAACATTTGTTTTAATATATATTTTTTATTTGAATAGGTAATTCGAAATATAATTTTCTTTTTTCAAAATAAGTTCTCTAAAACATATTTGTGAATCTGAAAATATTTTCCGAAATATTCATTTTGAAAATTATTTTCTTAATTTCGGATTAGATTTTCTTGAAATCATTTTTTCAAAATTAGAAATATCTTCAGAAACATCTAATCTCAAAAATATTTAAAATAAAAAATATAAAGACTTTTATAGAGTTTGGGAAGAACAAATTTTACAAGCACGCACAAAGAAAAATAGGAAATGAAGGAATAAGCAATCCAGAATTAAATGCGGAGGTTTCTAACATATACAATGCACTATTGTGAGCTCAGGTTCCACTGGGCGATCTGTTAAAAACTGGTGTGTATTAACTAATGGGGTGTTTCTTCCTCCGCTTCACATATTTTAAAATTTCAATTTTCTTTTTATTTTTAATTCCGAATTAAATAATTTTAAAATATTTTAAATGTACAGTTCAAAATATATAAAATTATATTTTGCTTTGATTATTTGTGTAGATGTCAATTATAGGATGATGTCTTTTGGTGGAGCAATGTTTTTCAGAACTCTTATTAAAAGTGATCTTGACTTGTTTTTTGGCACAATGTTTGATAATCTCATTAGTCTTCCTTGTTGTCTTTTCTTAAAGTTCATTTTGATATGTATGAAATAAGTGTTCGTAGTGATGGTCCTAAGATAGAAACATCCATAGTACATTTATTTATCTTTTGTTTGAAATTTATGTTTTCTGGTGTCTTATTATTATTTTATTTTTTTATTTGAGAGTATATTAGTGTTTTACTTCTTTGGTGTTTGGTTTAGACATAGTTTCATATTTTCGTTTCTTAGGAGAAAACATTCCGTGAATGTCTTTCATGTAACCTACTTTCGATTGGATTTGATGTGCAATCAATTTATCACATATCATTTTTGTTGCTTTTAAACGTTGAACATTTAATGTCATTTAATGCTTGTTCAGAACAACAAAGTAATTTCTGATTTTCTATTGTTAGGTAATATTTTTCAATTAAGCTCTTTCCCTTGAAGATACCAAGTGTAGATATACACTTCATCAAAAGATTGTATGTGTTTTGAGATTTCATTCCTAAGTTTTGTGAGCCTCAGTGTTTTCCTAGGTTTTTCTATGTTGAGGATTCTGGTTGTGTGTTTGTCTTTGGTTTGCATCTTAGGTTTTCTTCTTGTATTTTTGTCCTAAGTTTCTTATCCTAGTTTTTCTGTTTGTTTAATCCTTTCTCCTAGACGATCATCGATGGCTTTTAGGCATGTTCTTTCTAACTAGAGTTTTATCCTATTATTTCAGACCTTTGTCTTCTATTCTATCTTTGTGAGGTTGTGATTTCATTTTCCCTTTTTGATTCATGGCTTGGTATTCTTTCCTCCTAATCTAGGTGTTCTTAATCTCGTATTTCTTCTAGTTCAGAGTTGGTTTTTCTAGGATGTTCTACCTTAGTATCTGATGATTGTTTTCTATCTTAAGACTTGTCTTTTATCCTATGGCTTTTATGTCTTAGTGTCAAACTAAAGGTTGGTTTCTTAACTTAGGTTGGGGTTTTCTAACCTAGTGTTTTATGTCCTAAGATTTGTTTCTTTAGCCTAGATGTTCCTACACTAGTTAGTTTAAGTGTTTTTCTAGTTTGGAGTTAGCTTTCCATACATAAAGACTTCTTCCTTAATCTTCTTTGTTTCATGTTATTTATTAAACTTCAAAACCAAGAGCAGGGTTTCTACTATACGAGTTTGTCTTGTAATGAGCTTGTCATACCTTGACAACACATCTAACCCATAAACACAAAGCTCAATCAGGTCAATCTAATGTTCCACATAAAGCACTGGTTTGTCTACGGTAGGGTTGATGGCTCCAACTCTTTGGCAACATCATACACTTCTTCTAGTGAGAGAGCAACTTGTCCAATGACAGACATTGTAGATGTTAGGGTTTCAGAAAGGGTTTGAGAGTTAAAGAGTTGTTTTTTTAGAGAGAGAGAAAAAAAGCCTTCTGAAAAGTGAGGATAACTTAGGGTGCAAGGTGGTTTTTGATTTGAGAGAGGTAGTTATGTAAGAAAGGAGAGGATTTTTGGAACAAGAACCAACGGGGTTATGATGTCCATCAAATCTCATTTAATGTATATTGTACGGTTATGCTAAGCTGGCAGAATTTGAATCACTTTTTAACCTAGATGATCTTTATTAGGCAAACTTGTTGGGCTCAACATTAAACATATATGATGCATGTAATATGACATGTTCATAGACGATATGTCTTAGACGGTACAATTGAGCATGACGTCATTGGATGATATGTCATTTGATGACTTGGGTCCAACCAATGGACCAATTACTAAGGGTATGATTTGAAGGATGCAAGAAGAATTAGAGGAGAAAACACCAAAGGCAAGTGGAACATGGCAAACTAACCTATCTTGGAGGGCAGTGGATCGTACAACGAATGTTTAGGCATGCTTAGCGAGGCACCTGCCTAACGACCCATATGCAAGCCTAATGTCAGCGTCCAACAATCCATGTCACACTCTTTTTGCTTTTTCCACATATGTTAAATATGTTATGTGTGCTTTTCCACATATGTTAAATATGTTATGTGTGCTTTTTCACGTGGCATTTGATCCACATATCACACATAATCATCGATAATGCATGATAGACACGAATGAGGGGTTGAATTCCTTATAAAATCAACACCTTACATCATGTATGAGGCAATTTTTTAGCATAGTAATGACATGTTATTGAGATCACTTTAGCCTTTTCTTCTGTGCTTGAAAGTCATTGGCCAGAGAGACCTTGAGCTTCCTCTAACCTCCTTCCATAGGTAGGAAACCTCACCTAGTCCAAATCCACCACAAGCACCAATCCTTCCATCAAACACCTCATATACTTTCATCTTCTTCGACTGCCACTCTTTTCACATGTCAAATATAAAAAATAAGGAGCCATCGTTAGACGCTTAACCTTATACATTATATGACAAGTGATAAACATATTGAATCAAATTCATTCATCCAACAAATTCATGCCTAAAAGTGTTCTTAAACGATTAAGTCTTTCTTCAACTAAGAGTTTTGTGAAAATATTAGCAAGCTGATTTTCAGTGTTTACGTATTGTAAATCTATAATACCCTTTTGAACATGATCACAAATGAAATGATGTTTGATTTCAATGTGTTTGGCTCGTGAATACAATATGAGATTTTTCAAAAGACTGATTGTAATGTTATTATCACAAAAAAATAGGAATCTTACTCTCATAGACGTTATAGTCCTCAAGTTGGTTCTTGGTCCACAATAGTTAAGAACAACAACTTGCAATTGAGATGTACACTACTTCAGTTATTGAAAGTGCTATGGTTCTGATAACGGTAATTTTTA